CTGTCGAAGTCTTTTTTATGGCTACAGGGCAGGGCTGCGGGGCTGTTGGGTTATAGGGCAACTTGGCTATGGGGCTACAGGGCTATGGACCTATAGGGCTATAGGGCCACAGGGCTATGGGTTTATAGGCCTATGGGGCTATAGGGCTACAGGGCTGTTGGGCTATTGGGCTATCGGGCTATAAGGCTATAGGGTTGTGGGGCTATAGGGCTATTGGGCTATAGGGCTATAGGGCCATGGGGCTATGAGTCTATAGGGCTATGGGGCTCTAGGACCATAGGGTCATGGGGCTATAGGGCTATAGGCATGTAGAGCTATCGGGCTATAGGGGAAGGACAGTAGGGTGATATAGGGTTATAAGGCTACAGAGCTATTAGAGCTATCGGGCTATAGGGGAAGGACAGTAGGGTGATATAGGGTTATGAGGCTATAGAGCTATAGGGCTATAGGGATGTAGGGCTATAGGGCTAAAGGGCTAAAGGCTATGGGGCTCTAGGGCTATAGGCCTATAGAGCTATAGGGCTATAGAGCTACAGGGCTCCAAGCCCACAGGGTTATAGTGCTATAGGCTATAAGACTATAGGGCTATTGGGCTATAGGGCTACACTGATATTGGGCTATATGTCTATATGGCTATTCTGTTATGGGGTTATAGTGCCATAAGGCTATAGGGTTACAGGGCTTTTTGGCAATGGGGCTATAGGGCTATAGGGCTATGGGGCTGTAAGGCACCCAGGCACCCTGGCGGGCCGCGGAAATCGGTGGCAAACTTCACCCAACCATGCCAATCCGCGAGGACATCTACAGAAGCGAGCCCTGATGGGGTAAAAATAATTGCTGGACTATTTTGAATGGACTATTTTGGAATGTTTGTTTGGTTACTTTTGGCGTATGTTTTGTTTCTTGCCCATAATCGGCCTGTAGGAGGGCATGCCCGACCTGACGCTTGCTGGACTGCTCTGGCCCTGGAGGATGGGGGCTGAGACTCAGACGAGGAAAAGGTGCCCATACTGCTACCCTTCCCTCGTTTGCCCTTCTTGGGCCTCCCGGGAAACCCTCGTCGCGACGGCTGGATTCGCTTCGGAAGACACCGGTCAGCATGCGCCCCGGAAGAGGTTTGGGGAGTAGCGGTATGTGCACCTTTCGGCTTCCCCACAGACCCAGAGATCCGCCGCATTGAAACGAATCCAGACGGAGTTTTGTTGCCGTTTTCGGCCTCTCGGGTCCCTGAAGTACCTGGCCCGAGGAGCGACGAAACACGACACAGGATGAAGAAAACCGGTCCCGGGGAATGGCTCGAAAGATCCAGGGGCCCAGTATTGCAGTTTTTTGGGTTCGGCTGGAGCATGATCTGTGTTTCAAGCGACGGGTCGGCTGGGGGCGGGGGCTGTTTCCTTGAGAACATGGGCAGGCGGGGCCTCACGCACGCATGCCCAGGTGTAAGTTGTCGTTCGTGTATGCGTCCAATTCGATCACTTCATCGTTCAACACCCTCGCGTCGTGGCGAACCTCACGACGCAAAGTTTCTGGCAGTCTTCGGCATCTGGGGGCCCTGTGCCCCAGGAGCTCGAGCAAACATACCCGGCTTGAGGAGCCTGTCCCTGGGAAAGGGTTCTAGGACCTCTGCGGGCACAACGTCGGAATCGCTCGTTCGCTGGAGTGACCTTCTGCTGGTTCGCTGGGGTGGCCTTTTGGTGCGTGCTGGCTTGCGCGCTTGGCTTTGGCCACCCCGTGGCCCCCGGATGCTGCGCACCAAAGGTGGCTCTTGCCCAGGGTCCTTCTGGTGAGCAGCGGGCCACGCTGTCGAGCACTCAGCACGTCGGATGTCTGGGTCGTCCTCCCACTCGTTCCTGTGCTTTTGCTGTCCGCTCCGAGCGCTGCTGTATGTCCGGCCTCACCGCCCACCCCTGAGCCAGGTGTTCCTTGGGCGCGCCCCTTGCCCAGCGCAGCCCGCCACGCGCCACGCCCGGTCGCCCAGTAGAGTTCAGCATGCGCGAGCGTGACCCGTTCGTGCACTCGCAATGGCACCGTCACGTTGCCGGAGGAGGCAACGTCACCTCCCAGAATCGGGGGCGAGCGGTGGGGGGAAGTGGGAAGGAGAGGGCCTTCTCAGAAGGCGGCGGTACTTCTCACAGGCCCTCGCGCCTGCTGAGCAGTTTTTCGTTGTGTCTTCGGGGAGGGCTCAGCACACCTCCCAGAAGGCCCGGGGGGACCTCCGAGCCTTCCGAGAGGCCCCGCCCCCTGCTCACTTCCCCCCCCCCTTCGCGCGCCGCCGACTGAATGGCTGGGCACCCGCCGAACAAGCGCATCGACCTCCCCCAGACATGCGGCGTCCTGATTTTTTCAGGACGGCGTTCCCAGAAGTCCAGACCCTTTCCCCAGGGCCGGTTTTTCGTCCCAGGTAGTTTTTTGACGCTCCCGAGGCCCGGCGAGGGCCCCCAGGGGCCGAAAATAGAGAAAAACTTCCCGTCCTGATTTTTTTACGACGCCATCATGTCTG